AGTACTTCGAACGGTTTTTAAAGTAAGTCTTAAGAAAAATATTAAGAATAGCTTTATATACTATAATAAGCCTAAAACACTACGCGTATTAATTAAGCTAGCTATATATATTAATAATAGACTATAAAAGTAAAATAATTAAAAGAAATACTTTTACTCTAATCTAGCTAATATAAAGAGACAGCGTAGAAAGTATAATAAGAATAGTAATACTATTATAACTAGTAAAGTATAAGAAAAAACTAAAGATAGAAAACTCTAAGAGAGAAAACTAAATAGTCTCTCTAGAGAAGAATACTAGAAGTGTTACGATAGAAAAGTATGTCTTTAGTGTAGCGAAGTTAGACACTTTACCTAAAACTACTTAATAGATAAGATTAAGTAAGTAGCTATTAAGATTAAAATAATTAGATAAGGCACGTTCTACCTAGCTTAGATAGAACTAGATAATAACCTAAGTAACCTAGATCTCTATAAAGAAGCACGCTTAGATAAAAGCTATAAGATTATTCTAAGATCTAAGTTAGCTAGTAAGATTTTTATTATAGAATAGCTAAAGCTAAATAATTAGAAGGTTAAGAATACTATTATATTAGAATAATTAGTCTAGAATTAGTGTTAGGTATATATAAGTACGTTACACTACGCTAATAACTACTTAATTTAAGACTAAATTATAATTACTAGTAAGAACACTAAAGAAGTTAGGTCTAGAGTAGTATACTAATAACTCTACTTTAATAACCTAGTAGCTAAGGTTAAGAACTAAGAAGTTTCTAAAGTAAAAGATACTAAGAAATATAAAAAGTTATATTAGTATAATTATAAGAATAACTATAAGTACTATAGAAGAAATAAGAAGAAGTATAGAATAGACTAGAAATAGTGCTATTACCTAAATCTATAGATAGATAAATATCTAGTAGATAACTACTATCTTTATAAATCTAAGAAAGTAGAAATCTACTATAGACTTCTATAGCTATAATATAAGAATAGATATTCTTTCTACTAGAAATAGTTTAAGAAGGTATAATAAGTAAATAACTACTACTACGCTACTTTATTATTAAATATCTATAAAGTTATAGACTACCTAATCTATAAAGCTAAGAAGATAGAACTAAGAAAGAGAATTACTAGAGAGAAGATACCTTATTAGAACTTATATTAGAGCTTCTATTACGATAATAGATATATAACCTATTATAGTTCTAAGACTAATATAGACTACTTTTCTAGAAAAAGAAAAGGTAAGTAGATAAAAAACTAGAATACTACTAGAGATAGAGTTACACTAGTAAGAGTATATCTTAAATAACTCTAAGAAAGATATAGAATACTAATAGTTAAGTAAAGTAGTTACTTATAACTATATTTATATAAGATTAAGATATATAGACGCTTATAGATAGTAGAGCTATATAAATAATAATCTCTCTATAAGTAGTAGAGAAGTATAGAATACTATACTAAATTAAAAGTAAACTAATCTTAATTATATTAGCTAATAAGAAGTCTATAGAATATAGAAGTAGTATAATATAAATAGAAACTAAGTCTACTAAGCTATAGATAGCTAGCATAGATTACTAAATAGATATTAATATTATAGATCTAGAAGAACTAAATATATTAATAGATTATAATTAGCTAGATACCTATAACTCTACTATTAACTAGCGAAATAGAACTATACTTAGCTAAGAATCTACGCGTAAGGTTACTAGAGTATAAAATAAGAAACGCCTAATAAATTAGAGCTTACTCTAGAATAGAAGATTTAGTAAGATCTTACTATATAAAATTATAAGAATTTATATAAAGAACTCTTAGAAAATAGAAGTTATTTAGATAAGAAGAGTTATAACTATAGAGAAAAAACTCTTACTACTAGAAATACTATAAGAGTATTAAACTAATAAGTTAAAGAAACTTTTTAAGAAAAATAAAGCTACTAATCTAGTAGACTATTAGAAGTAGAATTATAAGATTCTTCTAGATAAAGAAGCTAAGCTAAGCCTAGAACTAATATACCTAATAGCGTTTAAGTATAATACTAAGCTATAGAACTATATCTAGAAGAATCTAAAGAAGAGATTTATCTAACTAGAATTAGGTCTAATAGCCTTACCTATCTTATTTATAAAGAAGTCTAATAGAAAGTAGTAACTTATAAAAATTATTCTAAGATAATCTAAGAGTTAGTTCTTAAGAAGTAAGTAAGTAAGGTAGAATAAGTTAGTATACTAGTATAATTAGTAGATTAATATAATAGTATAAGAGTATAATAGTATATTTAGTAAAATAATATAATATTATAAAAGATTAAGAAAGAAGTATAATTCTTAGATTAAATACTAAAGTCTTATATAAAGTTAAATACACTAAGCTATAAGAGTTTAGTGTCTAAGCTATATACTTAATAAGCGTTACGCTTATAGACGAGCGTGTAAGTAATTATAAATAAGTAGTAATATATCTTACTAGTTATTAGTCTAACTGCTTATGCTTATAGATAAGCGCTTATATAGAACTAGCGCTATTCTACTTATAGATAAGTAGTTACGTAACTATAGCGTAGTTCTTATACTATACTTCTATAACTATACTATATAATTCTTTAAAGTAATTATACTAACCTCTAGAGTACTTCTTAGATTAAATTTTAATAGGTAATTAGTACTATACTTAGCTAAAATATTAGCTAAAAAGCTTTATTAGATAAGTTTAAGCGCTAGAAAATATAGAAGCTATAATAGACGTAGAAGTAGTATACCGCGAATAGTAATATAGTCTAATACTAGATTTAATTACTACTAAAATATCTATATTTAGCGTAGTTTGCGATTAATATTATTATTAAGAGTAGATACTATCTAGATAATTAGACATAGTAATAGCTATAAGAACCTATTAAGAGTTAAAGCTATCTAGGTAATTAGGTATAGTAGTAGCTATAAGAACCTTAGTTATAGAAAAAGTAGATAGCTAGTAATTAGAGTACTTAACGCTATATCTTACTCTAGAATAAAAATAACTCTTATATAAACTTTTCTACTTTAATAATTATAACTATTCTAGTATTAAGTAGTAACTATAAGCGTCTCTTTAGCGAGCTTAGTAACCTACTTAAGCTAAAATAATAAGCTTTAGATAGTAAGTTACTTATAGCTCTTTAATTAGTAAGATTCTAGGTAAGAGCTATCTTTAAACTAACTATTTATAGTAAGACTAAGCTTTTAGATAAGAAACTTCTAGATAATTATAATATACTTAAATAGAATAGTTAGCTATAGTAATATAGTAGTATTTAGTCTCTTAGTAGTTAAGTAAACTAAGTACTTATAAGTAAACTAAGCAAGTTAAGTAAGTAATAAATTACTTCTAAGTAAGTTAAGTTACGTATACTATAATAGTTAAAATAGCTTCTATTTAAGAGAGTATAAGATTAATCTTTTACTTTATAATATATACGCTCTAACTAAGTAAGTTAAGTTTAAGGTAGTAACTTACTTAACTTACTTATTAGTAACTCTATCTATTATAGCCTTCTATTTCTTAAAGTTACTACTATTAGAGAATAGCTTTAGAATCTAAGCTACGTTAGAGGTACCTATTATATTAGCGTTAAGCGTTACATAGAGTATAGAGTAGTAACGTTAGAATTAATAGCGTAATAGCTAAAGATAGGTAAATAGTAGATTAAGTAATATATAAAAGTTATAGTAGATAAGATATTAGACTATAAAGAGTAATTAATAGTAGATAGAGTAACTAGTACGTATCGCAAAAGGTAAATTAAAGTAGAGTACTTAATGTAGTAGACCTTACGCTTCTAGTATAGATAAAAGCTATAAAGGTTAAGCTAGGCTTATAACCTAATAGATTGTATAGTAGAAGCGTCTATATAATATAGTAGGTAAAGTACTTATTATATTACTATTTACTACGGTATAGAGTAAGAGTATCTTAAGATAGAAACAGGCTAGGCCTAAATAGGCTAGATAGCTAAGTACACGCTTATAGAAGTAGAAACCTTAGAGCTACTAAATAGTAAGTTAAGCCTAAAACAAGCGTTTAGATAATTACTAAGCCGAAACTTAACACTAAGAAACTATCGTAAGATTACTGCCTTACTAAACCTAGTAGTCTTACGCTTACGTAAGCCTATAATTACAATCTAAGCAATTAATTAATTAAGCACGACCTTACAGATTAATTTAATTGCAATTACAGTAACAACGAGATTAACTTAATTAAATTGCAATTTCTACTACTACGACGCAACTTAATTGCAATTTAATTAATTGTTACTAACACTAGATATTACAACTTTAGCGTCCTCCGGACGCTACTTCAACTACTTTGTCTTAGACCTCCCGACTAAGAACGCGACTATTGCTTTCGAGAAATAGGTGCAAGAGGCGGAGATAGCGCCAGTGTTGCCTAAGCAGCGGGATACGTCTACTACTATCTATAAGTCTTACGGAGAAGGTTCCGCATACTAGAATAATCGAGAAACTAAGGTGCAGGGTCGTGTAGAGTAGTTACCTAGACTAATGATTTAATAATCTTGTAACGGGCTAAGCCCGAGGTTACATAACTAGGCTGCCGACCTAGTCGCTTTCTTCTCTTCGGTCCCTCACCTTGCCTCAGCAGCACGTGCACCGTGCGCGAACACAAACAACATAAGATAGCAGACTACCTATCTCTCTTTCTCCTTATCTTAACTGTAAATACTATCTGGGTTAGGTAGCTGGAATACAGTGCCTACAGACCGTTCACAGATCTAACGAACAGAACGACTGCAGGGGGTAGGAATGGAAGGAGTCGGAAGGGTATGGAATAGTATTACTAATTAGGTACTGCCTTAACTCCTGATAGATGCTGCCTTGCTATGTATCGTATATCCGCAATGTCAATCTCTAGGTCTCCGCATTGTTGAGCTAACGAAGAATTCAGTTGGTGCAGCAGCTCATCGTATCGACATGACGCATCTAGTAAGCCTTTGACCGCTGGTAGCAACATGTTCTGCACAATTTTAACGAGGAGTTCTGGAATGTGATCAGTGTCATATTCCAGCCTCACTGAAAGCCGATCGGCGAAGATATGCCATTCGAAAAGTATCCCAAATTTAGATCCCTCCGTCCAGACATGTTGCGGCTCTGCTCCCGCGACAGGAAAAATGGATTTGCCCGTCATGCGATCATCGTGGAAGGTGACGACGCAGTCAAAAAGCTGCTGACGGCGCGAAGGAAAGGGCAAATTGAGGTGTTCTAGCAGCTGCGGCCACAGTACAGGATGAGAAAGCGATGCTTGCGACGCGCATTGAACTGTGCGCAGTACCTCCTGGGATGTCATCGTGTTATCTACTTTGACGCGGACCGGGAGGGCTTGTAAGTACAGGCCAACCACCTTTTTGTCCTCCACGGAGTGGCGATTCATGTACGGGCTGCCTAGTATGATATCGCTCCGCTCGCAAAGAGAATGCAAAACTGCACCCGTGGCAGCAAGACCGAATTGGTGAAGCGTTGTGCCAGTATTTAACGTCAATGCTACAATGTCTCGGCAGAGCTCCTGGGGAAGGGGGGCCAATAGCGATGTGCCCTTGTAAGACTTGTGCCAGAGAAGGTCTTCGGATTCACGCTGAAGTTGAAGACCTCGAAGATACGTCGACCAGAAGAAGGCTGTCTCACGGTCCAACGGCTGGCCCCACGCTTTTGAATCGAAATACTCCAGTTGCACAGCCGGCAATTTTCCGCTGTTGTATACTGTTGATGCATCGGCGAGGAGTGTGTTCAACGCGGTGAGGTCGCATATGATGTGAGAGATGCTGATGGCAAGTGTCGAAGGAGAGAGTGCCACTCGGACCAAGACATCGTTGCTAAGGTCGAACGGGCGATTGACAAACTCAGACGTATTGATCGCGTGAACCATCTGAACCAGGATAGGACCATCTGATATGATGCGCGAAACACCGCCGTCTGCTTTTGGCACAAAGCGCGATTTTAGTATGCGATGTTGAGCCATGACTGAGTTCAGAGAACGTGCAAGGCGAGCTAAGTCGACTTCGGGTTGCAAACTCGCTACCCAGGGCACATTGAACGCGCTCTGGCTTTCCGACTCGCGATAGCGATGCCACCATTCCAGCTCAGCCGGAGACAGCGCACTGGTGCCCAGCGGCTTGATGGCAATCTCTTTGATTGCCTGCGCCTTCCAGCTGTGCATTCGCGCTTGAACAACAGCCGCCATGTCGGCCAGCACGGGGGCCCGGATGATGTCTCTGATGGCGAGGGGCATGTTGCATGCACTGCGGAGGCGTGCAGCAAGATCCAACTGCAGGACTGAATGACCACCTAGCGCGATGAAGCTGTCCTTGGAAGTCAACTTGACCGAGTTATCCAGGCCGAGTAGGGTTCGCCACTCGCGCGCGATCAGAGCTTCAAAGGTGGATAAGCTTTGGTCCGGGCCCATAATGGTACATGGCTGGTCGAAGACAACATCCTGCTGTGCTAAAGCCTTGGAATCGAGTTTTCCGTTCTTCGATAGTGGTAGCTGAGCTCTGGCAATGATGTGTTTAGGCTGGGCGTGATGGGGCAGCACTGAACGCAAGCGTTGGGCCATGTCCTGAACCTCCAGGTCTTCAGGCTCCACCCATAAGACGAGTTTCCCCTTATGTTCTGTTGCTATGGCCTTGCGCAAGTCTGGAATCTCACGCATAGCAATGGCGCCAACGTCGTCCAGGTTCACGCGGAATCCACGCATCTTGATCTGTCGATCCTTTCTCCCACACACATGTACGTTCCCAGCAGAATCCCAGAAGCCCAGGTCGCCAGTGCGATACATGCGTTCTCCTTCACTGGGGGAAGGACAGAAGGGATCAGGTAGGAACTCGCGTGCGTTTTGCTCAGCCAGGTCGTGGTTGATGTATCCTCGGCTGACTTGCACCCCCGCAATGAAGATGTTGCCAACAACACCTGGGGGCGAAAGCTGCATTGCATCGTCGAGAATGTATAGGCGCATGGATGGTACTGGAGGTCCGACGTTGACAGGCACATGTGCCTGGAGCTTTTGCTGACATGATCCTATCGTGCCCTCTGTCGGGCCATAGAGATTGTACAATGTCCTGTTCACTGCCCATTTATTCAACGTTGGTTGCTGCACAGGCTCTCCTGCAAAGTAGACCTAAGGAAGAGTTAGGCAAATACTTGGTCGGGGGCGTTCGGGTGACGTACAAATTTGAGGTTCGGAAACTCAGCCGGGTTCAAACCTGCAGCGACAGATGGCGTCATCATTGCGACGTCGACATGTCCCAGATGGCCGAAAGGGTCATCTCGTTCTGTTCGGAGTACCAGCGTAGCCCCATAGCAAAGAGACGCAAAAACTTCGTGCACACATCCATCGAATCCTGGAGAAAGAAACTGAGCAATTCGAACTCCCGGTGCGCTGTTGAGGCGCACGTCAGGGTCGGCATGAAACGCGGTAACGGCACCGTGGACACATGCAACGCCTTTGGGCTTGCTAGTAGACCCCGATGTGAAACAGAGAAATGCGGCATCGCTGACACTGGGTAATCTGGTCAGGACGTGAGGATCACGTGATCTGTCATCTGCCAAGAGTGCATCGATGGCGAGTATAGGTACGCCATTCATTGTTGGCGCATCGACCAATTGAGACTTCTCAGTACACAACAATAATGTCGCGCCACTGCTTCTTAGCAGCTCGCCGCGATATTCGGGTGTGTGCGCATCGTCGAGAGGGCAGTAGACTGCACCAGCCTTGAGGGCTGCGCATACGCCCACTATCCAGTTAATCGAGCGGTCTGCTACAACGCACACGACATCACCCGGTTTGACGACCTTCTCAGCGGCAGCTGCTACGCGTCCCGCATGCGTCATGAGCTCTGCATACGTCAACTGGACGGCTCCCTTCTCTACGGCGACGCGTGCAGCGTTGGCTTGCGCAGCATTCTCAATGCAGCTCGTCACTGTCGGCCCTGTTGCGCGGACGCGCGAAAGGCTGGAAGGCCCGTTACCGCGAGCCAGCAGCATGCGCGACGTCTCTGCATCGAGTCGCTTCCTCAAGCATCCCTCAACAGTGAGCCCTGGATGCGTCAAGGCATGCAAGACGTTACGATACAGAGTTGCCATCTGTCGCACGTGCTCGTCGCTGAAGCTGTTGCGTCGATACATGAATCGTACCCGCCCATCTCCCTCGACAAGGACGTTTAGCGGCAGTGCTGGAGACTCGACAACGAAGGGCGGCTGAACTGGCTCGATTCCTGCTGGCTCAAGCGTGGGCGAGTCATACTGTATCGCAAGAGCCGACGAGAAACGCAACGGCTCCCCTTTGCGCTCGGATGCCTGGAACTTAGAGAGAGATCGCACCGCGTCGTATGTCTGCTGCAGAAACGCATCGGTCGACGCGTGCCTGTCAATAGCCATACGTAGTGGCTGTGTCGCAATAAGGGGACCGATGATACTTTCTGCCCCCTGGAATCCCAATGTCCGGGCAGAAAGAACGGCCCCGAAGAGCACTGTTGGGGCATTGGTGTAACTCGATAGTACCAGTGCCCATGCTGCGTAATGGAATGTCGCGGCCGTTGACCTTCCGGCACAGCTTAGCTTCGCCAGAGAAGCACTGCCCAGCTCTGTCTGTATGGAGTATTGCACAGTTGTGTCGAGCACACCCGCCGGTGGTTTCGGAAGCAGCATATCGCCAATGGCGTCGCTAAGGTCCTGATCCTGCTGTCTCCAAAATGCGCTCGCTTCAACCGACGTGCGAGCTGCGTTTTGTCGCATCTGGCCTACTGCAATAGTGAAAGGCGGTGACGGGTCACACGGGATGCCTCTGGTTGCAGCAGCGACCTTGTTGAGAATAAGCGAAGCAGAGAAGCCATCCACGAGAGCGTGGTGGATGGAAAATATGACAACACTTTGATCGCAGGGCAGCAGCGCACCCCGGTAGTGCAGGATCGTAAACGAGGCTCCCAATCCAGTAGCCGCAGCAGCTTCTTTGGTCCTTTCTTCAACCTCAAACATTGACTCAACAACAAGTTCCGTCCAGCGAACCGTTGGTTTGTTGTTGATGCGCTGTGTCTGGGTGTTGATGTCCAGCTCTGTCCGAAATATAGGTTCAGATGAGATAACGGTATGCCACGCCCGTTGCAGATGCTGCACATCTGCACTGTTGTACGTAGCAATGTGTTGCACTACATTGGCCGTCTTCTGGTTCATGCTGTCATAGATAAGCATCTTCTGTAATGCCGTGAGAGGTGCCACCGGCATGTGTACAGATGCAGGTGCCACGTCTATCGACATACGAGCTGTACCATCGTAGGCCTGAAGTAGGCTATTGATTGAAGGTGAACCGAGTATATCTTCCATAGGGATGGCAAATCCTTGCTTCCGACAGTGCGAGCAGAGCATGATCGCTGCAAGAGAATGAAGTCCTTGGCTGACAAAAGATTGGTCGCGGTCGATCGTTGATGCAGGTATGTTGAGTATACTCGCCATTCCACCAATAATGACAGACTCCAAGCTTCCGTCATCTTCCACATCCTCTTGGGCATCTAGTATCATGGCTACCACGACTTCGGCCAATTTGCGAGGATCAACCTTGCCGTTCGCTGTCATTGGGAACGACTCAAGTCCTACCATGTGGTCTGGTACAAGGTACGGTGGAACCCGTGCTCTCCATCGGGACTTTAGCTCCGTGATATCGGAATGTACTGGCGTCAGGGCAGTGTACAGTTTCCCATTCACCTGGATTGAATGCACCGCTGTGATTTCGGGTTCCATGGCCAGTAATGCTGCATCGACATCGAGCTCAAGGTTTACTAGGAATCCTCGGATCTTGACGGTTCGATCGCGCCTACCACAGAATTCGACGGCTCTTTCTCCGAACGCATTGACGAACCATCTCGCACGGTCACCCGTTCTGTATGTGCGTTCGCATTTATGCAAGAAGAACTTTTCGTCCGTTCGCTGCTTGTCGCGCCAGTAACCTCTAGCCAATCCAATCCCGGAAATCAGCAGCTCTCCCTCCATCCCAGCAGCTTCGATCTCGCTTCCCAAACTGTCCACAATCATGACTCTAGCACCGTGGATAGGGGTCCCCAGAATTGATGGCTTCAAACTTCCGGTCTGAGGACACGTCTGCAAAATCGTCGTCAGGGTTGCGCATGTTGCTTCTGTGGGGCCATATGCAATCCAGATTGGCCGTTTTAAGATACTCCAAGAGGTCAGTAGTTTCTTCGAGGCTGTCTCTCCACCCAAGACCACCCTGTCGAGCCTAGGATAGTCATGCAACGATTGCGGTGGTTCTAGGACCTCAAGTAGTGACGGCGTCAAGACAAGCACACTACAGTGGCGACTTTGATCCTGTAACGTAGACTGGGTCGCTAGGATCACAGTTCCACCGTTACAAATAGTGTTAAACAAAGTCCCCATGCAAGCTAAATCACAGTCAGTCTGGTTCGCGTACAGATACGATTACATGGTGCATACCATCAAAAGCAACGGAGAGTACTAGCAATACTCGGTCGTCCGGAGTAACGTCGTAGTTGAAATGAGCCGCTGAAACGAAGTTGGCCAATGACGAATGCTGGATCTCAACACCCTTGGGTTTTCCAGTCGTTCCAGATGTGAAAATGATAGCCGCTAGCTCTGGAAGTGGAACCATGCCTGCACCTTCGGGATCGTAATCGACGTCGACATCTTCAGCATTGATCATCACCATGCCTGGAATATCCATATTCCCTCCCGTGTAGACGATAATTGAGGCATCTGTTCTTTGCAAAACATCCTCTATTCTTTCTCTCGGCCATTGATCGCGATCTATTGGTGTGTAGATCGCACCAATCTTGAGAATAGCTAGGATACCGACGACCATGTGCAGACAAGAGTTTGTGAGTATTGGAATCACCTGCGAGTGGCGCGCTCCACTTTCCTGCAGCCTTTGAGCCAAGATCGACGATCGTACATCCAGGGCGCGGTAGGTAATCGTTTTTGAACCATCCTGAACAGCTATGTTCTCAGGATAATTATCGCGAACAGTTCGAAATAGGTCTAGGACGGAGGGACCACACTCGCGAGTCATGGTGGGGAAGTGCAGTGGAGGTGAACCAAAGGTATTGCTTCTGCGCAGGTACTGCACGTGTTTTATTTACCATGAGATGTTTCGCATTGTTCATTTGACAAGACAAACAGCTGGATCAGATAACATCCGCGGTGCGGATCTTTCGTCGGTTACCGACAGAATGGAGTTGGGATTCGTACTTTGAACATTCGACTCAAAATGTGGGACACAGTCACCCTTTGACGCAGCATTCCATCTTTTATACAGCTAAAGTGCTATCTTGAATACTTTAATCCAGCATCGAATAACGCCATTCTAAGCATTTTCATCATCTTCTGTCTTACTTGGCCATCATCATGGCGCTTTCTAAAAGGATGCAGGGCACCGTAGAGAGTGTCATGCCGAAAATCCTGACTCAAGTCACTCAGCGAAGCTCTAGCAACCCACCAATAGATTTCGGCACAGCAGAGAATTGGTTGATACGAAAAGAACTGGTTGTATTCTTCAGGGACAGCATCGCGAAGGACTTAGTCGAACAGGTGCGTGTGACGCCCATCTCTGCTTCTGCATGAGTCATGATGATTCTTACAACTAGCCAAGGACTTGTCGTACCAGAAGGGATTCTCTGGCGATCCACGCGTCATCGCAAAGCTGGCAGAGACTTTCAACCGGCTCTTCTCGCCTCATGTTCCTGTAGAAACTGCCCATGTGGTTGTCGGACCAGGCGGGGCAGCCATTCTTGAGTCGCTCTTACTCAACATTTGCAACCCCGGAGATACGATGCTAGTATTAGCCCCGTTTTGGAGTAAGCTAAGCCCAATGTTATCGCGGGAAAGTATCATGCCTGACAGAACCGCAGGCGGATTCCACTTCCAGTTCGATGTCGGCCCTAAAGTGAAGATCATTCCTGTAACTTCCCTCGATGACAACGTGCTGAACGAGAATGTCATCCACGACCTAGAGAAAGCTCTTGCGAGCACGGAATGCAAACCTAAAGGAGTTGTTCTGTGTAATCCACACAACCCTCTCGGCCAGTGCTACACGAAGAGTGCGCTGAAGGCGATCTGCAAGTTCTGTGAGAAGCACGACCTGCATCTCATTTCAGATGAGATCTATGCTTTGTCAACGTACGAATCGGAGGATATGCCACGACCAATGCCATTTGTATCGCTCCTCAGCCTGGACTTCGAAGCGATGGAAGTCAGCCCGGCAAGGGCGCATGTGATTTGGAGTGTCAGCAAGGATTTTGGATGCAGTGGATTTCGACTTGTAAGACAAAGTCTCGCAATCTATACAATGAGTCCTTCTAACAGCTGTCGCCATAGGGTGCGCTCGTAACCCAAGGCAGTCCTGCGATGGCCTGCGGTGTAGCGATGGCCGCAAACACACAGGTATCTGGTCTCACGGCCGTCGCTGTCTCGAGTCTACTGTCCGACCCGGAAACTACGGACAGGTTTATTGAGTTGAACCGGAGCAGGCTCGCCATTGCATATGAAACCATGGCATCATTTCTACGCAGCCTCAACGTCCGATATGTGCCCGCATATGCGGGCATCTATATCTGGGCAAAGTTGTCTGAGAAGGTGCAATCTTGGGATCAAGAGGCTCAGTTAACAAAGATGATAGCCGATAATGGCGTCGCTGTCAGTGCGGGGAAAAGTTACGCGGCGCGAGATCCTGGTTGGTATCGACTTTCTTTCGCGCTTGAACCAGAGAAGCTGCAGGAGGGATTGCGAATATTAGCAATAGGCATCGCCGCTTTTGAGAATCAGGGCTAGAAAGGTTTTTTTCCATGATTCATACGCGTCCTCAAGGAGATGAGAAACCGTGATGACGATGACGCTATCCAATCAAAGTTAGGTAAAGAACGTACAGAATGTCCTTGCTATTAATCTAGGTCAAGGGCGAATTGGCATGATGCGACGGGATGATTTCAAATTTGATCATCACGCGTCACATGACATTAAATTTACTCCGTCGCCTCTGCCCCAGATCGGCGCATGCACACAATCGTGCCACGCCCACATAACATACACCACAAATCTAACAACCTGGCCGACACCTGCTGGAGCATTTCCGTCTGGTCCCAAGCTCAACAAAGCCATCCTCTCCACTAGTAGCATGACAGGATGCCAAAACGCAAGGAACAGCATTGCGCCAATCTTGCGCCGCAAATCCTGTGGGGGCTCGTACTTGGGAATATGACAAAGGTACTGGCAGTACTCTTCTGGGAGCTCGGCGTCTGTCGCACCATCCGTGAGAAGTTTCTATGGAGGTTTCCCACTTAGCATAATAGTCTGATGTGTGCGAAAGGTTAGAAAGAGCCAAACGACCTACCATATATCTTGCACTAGGGCTGGATCCAGGACTTCGCCTCAATATTGTCCCCAGAGTTCTCACGACAAACTTCTTCCCTGTGGCCCTCTCATCCTGGCTCGTAACTGGAAGAGCCGGTACCGCGATATCGGCATAAGCGATGCCACCGCCTTCCGACGCAACGAGATGCACGTATTGCTCGTCAGTGATGAGATACGCGACTCCTAGTACTTCGCGGGTCTTGGGATCGTCAGTCCCTGTAATTGGACGGATAGACGTATATGCAGGTTCCGAGTAGGGCGTGCCAGGAATTTCGGTCGTAAGGGTCCAGCCGGGAATTCTTGCGCGGGCGATCTTGATCGGATGGATGCCACGGGAACCGGTGAATTTGGAGCTACTCATATTTGAGCCGTAGGCAAAGTACCAGACAACATTATTGGTGGCCATTGATGCGGCGAGGATGGTTGGATAGAGTGGTCGGATGGAGACATCTACTGCGAGTATTATGTTTTGATGTTGTCGGTAACCGAGATGAACTAAAGGTGCCAACCAAGGTATCTAGGTACCTCACGCTAGACATCCATGCGTCGTGCACCAACGTCGAAATTCGGGGTTACATCCAAGGATCTCAACGAAGTACTACTTCTGGATGACAGACTAGCGACGTATTGCTACAAGGGCATTGCATTAGTATAAAACGTTGAGCGGTGAGGGTGTCGGGATCTGTGTCTCGCTCTCGTCCGGGGTCGTCTCCGAGATCAGAATACCAAGGCAATCGCGGCACTCCGGTCCAGTATCGGGCACTCCGGTCCAGTATCGGGCACCGAGTTAGTAGCGATAGCGCACCACGGTTGCGGCATCTCCGGAACTTATTTTCCGAACGACCACGAGCGTTGTACAATCCTTTCTCCATCCTGAAAGCTTAGTGACTACTGCTGAGTAAAAGTTCTGCACTATGTTGTGGACTACCGTGCTCTGCAATTGGTCCTTTTGTTGTCCGGAACCACCCAATACTTTGGGAATTGTCAAGTATCTCCTTGGAGATATCCTAGTAGAGTATTTAGAGTATAGTGCTATGTTGTCAGAAGCTTCTATGAATGTCATGCGGAGCGTCGTCCATTCTAGCTCAAGGTCACGACACCAATCGTTGATCACTAAATCATATGTTTTTCACCCATCAAACAAATAAGCTACTCGCCCGCCGCTTGAATTGTTATCACAAGACTGGCAGTCAATTCCGATGGCGAGAATTTCTAGATTCGACTGTCCCTGTCCGACCGCATCTAACGGATCGTCATTTGCTTTGTTGCACCTGCATGGCGGCACCATTAGCTGCAAACAGTCCCATTGAAATGCCCCCCGCGACCACTTTAAATGGGCTGGCACAATCTCCCGCAGCAAAAACACCAGGAATGCTGGTCTCGTTGAAAGGTGGGTTCACCTTCAAGTCCAGCCCGGGGGTCAGCTCCACGCCGAGCTGGTCCGCCCACGGCCCGTTTAACTTACTTCGTGGTTTGTGCGCAATGAAACCGAACACCTCCTCAGCCCCATCCTCGAATTCAATTTTGACGTCGGCCGTGTTCCCCGGTACCTTGTTGAATCGAACGATCCTTCTCGGATCAACGACCAGTCCCTTTTCTGTGCAAGCCGCTTGTATCTCCTCGGACAAAGCTGTGTTGCCATTTGTCAGCACCACAACCTTCTTGGCTAATCTCTGGGCCATGCAGCCCACTGCAGTTGAATGCATCATGTCTGCCATGTCTTCGACAGCAAGTACGCCGGCCTGAGTAGCGCCGCGCTCTTCGTATCCATGGCAAAATAGGCAGTGGTAACTGTGGTTACATTAATGCGACAGGTCAAAGGAAAAGGTGTTGCGACTTCAAACTTACATTCCACGACCCCAGCAGTCATCGTAACCTGCGATGTCTGGATACAAATCCTGGACACCGGTCGCTAGAACAACCTTTTTCCCTTTGTAAATCCTCCCATCGCTGTCCAAGGCCTCGAAGCTGCCGTCTGGCAGTTTCGTGAGCTTTTCGACCTTGGCACGGACGAAACTGGTAGTGTTGTATCGATCGGTGAGATCCTTGCGCGCAGCTTCGCGGAAGTCCTCTGGGTTTTTGTGATCCCAAGTTGGCACGTTGTGCATGTGAGGGGCACGAGAGTTGCGGTATACTCCGTGGTCGAAAACAATGCATGGGTGCATCAATCGGCTAAGAGCAGTGGCTGCAGAAAGGCCAGCGGGCCCACCACCAACGATAAGAACATCGACAGTAGACATAGCGGAGGTATGGTATGGCAGGCGGTTTGCTGGATGGATGAGGGGGCGAAATGAGCGGAAGAATTGCAGCATCAGGAGATGCTTTATGTCGGTCGCTTGCTGCGAGGACGTTGGCTATGGTTAATGTGTTAAGGCTTCATGTCGGTTGCCGACACTTAAATATAAAGCGCTGACTGCGTTCACTAAGATTTACGTGATTCGCAGGAGCAAGAAAGTTGAGACCAGCATCGCGAACATGGAAGACAACATGTACCATCTCCGCGCAGCCACGCGAGCTGACCTGTCACAGCTGGTCACTATAATCGCCGAGCCCTTTAGCAGCGGTTCACTCGATACAGCAGGTCTGACTTTCAGTCAGGACGAAATTACGGCCTATCTCCAATGGCGTTTACCCCGCTTGCTGTTGGATAAGAAGTCACTGGTGCTTGTACTCGAGTTCCGTCCAGTTAACTCGTTCAAAAAAGTGCCTGGTCGCGTTATCGGCTGTGCCATCCTGTGCCTAGGCATCTCTACATCTCGTCCATCGTCAGCCGAGCCATCATGTAATACTCCTCTCTGAATTCCAATGTTCTTTCGGTCTGACTCTTCCAACAGATACCGACTTCTCTTTACTAAAGTTGCACTCTGCCCTATCCGACCTCACAGTATGGCCAGACACACAAACGGCAGAAGTTCACACTCGTTTCGAAGCTGTCCAAAATGCTATCGAAACATCGGTTGATGAAGGTGCAACTTCTCTCGTTTTTTACTACGTGCATGTCGATTTTCAGGGCTGTGGAATCGGATCGAAGATGCTAGCTGAGGTTTACAACAGCGCTGCCCAGTTCAGCCAGCTTACGCCTTTGACGGGTGTTTTTCGGGGTGAAGACGTTGAATTTGGAACAGTCGCAGGATGGAGGCATAAATGTGATGCTGGGAAGTTAAGAATACTCGAGCATGTCTCTTAGATGACATTTCTTAACTGTGGTGGCCCGGAAGCTCGGCAGGCTGCCTTTATCAATAAAGTTCGTGTGATCGCAACGAGAGGGGATGGACAATGCCTTTTATTATTTCCCAGCTTGTGAAACAACACAACATTCGTGGTCGTTACAAAAAGATGTTTGTTTGGCGCATTTCCTTCGTCGGTCGGTAGCCGTCCGTGTGGGTCGTTTCCCTTAAATGTGCAGATAGTTGTTCTACACGATCGCAGCTAGACGAGACCATTACCCTCCTATCGAGATATTCATTCAGCCTAAAAGATGTTTTCATCCGTATTTCAGCTCCCGGATCTAGACGAGCGCATTCCCATGCCGGGTTTTTTTATTCCTTCGTTTTACCTAGTCCTGGTAGGCTCTATTCTTATCCGGTCACACGCCTTGCGCAGAGTCGTTGTTACAGTTATTGTGCTAGCCTACCTGTGGGGGTTTCTTCACATGACCGGAGGAATCGACTCAGATTGTCAGAATATGACAATGTTAGTCGCGTCCACATTAATGTGGATTGATTTTGGGGTCACAAAAAACTTCGAAAAAGACCTATTCCGAACATGGGAGCAGAATGTTCCTGTGTCTCACCGATCTTTCTCTAAGAAACTAGCTTGGAGTTACGATTTATGGACGACTTGGCGTGGTCCAGGATGGAACTGGGAGTCTAAGCGTTCGCCGAGACTGCCTGAACACCTTTTGGACCGAAGGTATTTTCTAGAGAATCGAGCTATTGGAGGATATCCTGGTACTAACGGGTGTAGAAACTTTCTAATCGACAATATGAAGCGTGGAGCGTACTGCTGGTGTACGAGCCAGATTTTGCTATGTCTTCTTGAGATGACGCCATTCACTCGGATTATCGAGCGTCAACACATCCAAAATTCACCGCTGCATATCCAAGTCGCTGTGATATGGATTGCCACACTTTACACACAATACAACATGAGCTTCATGTACAGGCTGGTCACATCTTTGCTAGTTTTGCTCGGTATCTGCGCACCATTTCAGTGTCCCCCTCTCTTCGGCTCGTTTTCCCAGATGTATACAGTCAGCAATTTGTGGTCGGTTTGCTGGCAGCAGATGATGAGGAAGGTCAGGCCACACGCACTAAGACAGTGGTAGATTCTTGGCAGCTGACTGGAAATAGGCCATATTGGTTATACCCAACCACGTCGTCTCTATTGTCGGCATTCACGATTTGGTTGCGAAATATACTCGCCTAGTCCTCTCATTCGCCGTGTCAGGGGCAATTCACTCAGTTGGTGCATATAGCGCTACGCGAGGCACGTTCGGCGATATGCGCATGTTTTTTTCGCAAGCTTCCGCGATTATAGTGGAAGACTGTGTCATCACATTGGGGAAACAGGTTGGGATCAAAAAGTCAAGTACGTTGTTTTGCCGTAATTCCAACAAAACCCCCGCTCACATACGCAATTTTAGGATCCACGATTGCGATTGGGTTCATTTGGACTATTGCATGGTTCAGCTTCTGCTTGAGGCCTTGGATTGGAGAAATGCTTTGGGCGGGTATGCTCGCAACGAACGGCAATAGCAGCATGGTATCAAAACTCTTCGGCCATTTCTACTGATAGTTACAAGAATCGATACATGGCTTTTCTTCGCAAGTAGTTAGGAAACGTTTTGAGGAAATGATCAATCTTTCTAGTTCTGCTTGACAATTTGATAGGCCGGGCCTAGTGCACCCCCACTTCCAGCATCAAGCTGCATTTGCAGGCCGCCTGCAACAAAAGCGCCCATTGAAACAGCGAACGTGCCAATTTTGAATGGATCGCCACAATCTCCCGCCGCAAATATGCCGGGCACCGACGTCTCGAAGAAAGGCGGGTTGGTCTTATAGAAGCCAAAATCGTTTGTCTCAACGCCCAGTTGTTTCGCAAAAGCGCCGTTGTTCAGAGGTAACGGTCTGTGAATGATGAACCCTTCAGTCATCTTCTCGTCGTCTTCGAAAACGGCGGTAACCTGGGCCTGAGTGGGCTCCTTGATAAAGCGCACAATTCTCCGAGCATCTACACGGAACCCAAGGGGACCCAAAGCTTCTCGGCATTCCGCCGCCAGTTCCTGGTTTCCGTGAGTGTAAACGGTAACGGGCCCAGAAGTATAACGACGGCACTGCAGCGAGAGATGACGGGCTGCCTTGAGATTGTCATCACCGCCCGCAGCTAAAACGCCCGCTGACGCACAGCCACGTTCTTCATAGCCACGATGCACAAGGCAATGGAATCTATGAGAATGATCAGCCGAAGAACTGAAATGAGCGGAACAAAGACACGTACATTCCCTTAGCCCAACAGTCGTTATATCCCGGAACGTCGACTGGCACGTCCTGAATGCCCATGGCTAGCACGAGCTTGCGACCTCGCCAAATACGCCCCTTCGAGTCGGTAGCTGTAAAGGGAAACTCGGCATCGGCATCGCGAATAACATTTTCAATCACGACTCCAGTCGCGAATTGGACCGTGTTGTATTTGGAAAGAATGTTTTGTCGGGCAGCGGCACGGTACTCCTCAGGATCACGACCATCCCAGCCGGGAAGAGTGTGCAGCCAGTTTGCTTTACGGTTGCGGTAGGCCCGAGAGTCAAACACAACGGCTGTGTGAAGCGAGCGCACCAGACTCAACGCAGTGCTCAGCCCAGCGAGGCCACCTCCAATGATGAGAACGTCGAAGCAGTCTGACATTTTGGCGTTGTTGAAATCGTACAGCAGGGCTGTGCTGGGCTGTAGCCTCTTTTGTGTCGTTACTATTGATGCCTCGGAGAGCGACAATATCGGGCGTCGACGCATCCAATCGCCTGATTTGTGTTCAAAAGCATGTCGCAATTCTTTTGCACAACACAGAGCTTGAAGCAGTTTCATTCACGTTTCTCAGGAGCTTTTCATCATGTCGACGACAGCAACGATGCAGTTCATGGCCCCAATGGCCGAAGAGCCCTTCTATCGCTCTCAACCCGATGAAGGCTTCGAATCCTGCAACTTTTCCTATAAGGCCAAGACAGTGCAGGTGAAGGACTCCCGCCCTATCAAAGACCAGTTTCATCTCGATACGCACGGCTTCGCCTACGCAGACGATGCTGAAGGGGCGGCGTTCGTCGACCAACTTCGGACCAATGAACACGGCGCTAAAGAGCGCTATTATGAGCACCTTCAGGGCCTGATCATGAAACACACTGGGGCCTCGCGAGTCGTCATATTCGACCATACCATGCGCCGTCGTGACCCCTCGTTGGCGGGCAAGAACCCTGATGGTCGAGAGCAACCCGCAGCTTACGTACACATCGACCAGTAAGTAACTATCTCTTTGAGAACGTAATTACTTAATAAGAGAGGGCGATGCTGACGAGAGGTCCAGGGGCCCGGTAGGGGCTGCACGTCGCGTCCACCAGCATCTTGGCTACGAGTCAGATCGCCTGCTCAAGGGTCGTGTGCAGATCATAAAGTACGTACGAATTCTATTTAGCATTCAGGATGTAGCAGCTGATCGGCTTCGCACAGCGTGTGGAGGCCCCTCAATGGCCCTGTGCAAGACTGGCCGCTTGCTACCATGGACTTCACTAGCCTGAAGCCTGGAAACTACCATCCCACAAACTTGTATCGTAACCGGTTCGAGCTGCGGGGTCAGTCTTGCAACGTTTCGCATCATGAAGATCAACGGTGGTATTATCTCGACGCGCAGCAGAACAGCGAGGTTACCTTCATTAAGATCTGGGATAATAAACCGGCGGTCACTGGAAAAGGTGAGCCTATCCCAGAATTTCAGCGATCCCAGTCGTCCCGGGCTGGCTGGTTATTTTCGTCTAGTGATCGTCCTTGACTGACTCTTTGATACAGCCTGTGCTCATTGTGCTTTTGAGCATCCGGGTTCGGCTAAGGATGCCCCCTTGAGGGAAAGTATGGAAGTGAGATGCATCGTCTTCTATGAGGATGAGGAGCTAGCCTCGGCACTTTGGTGGACCTAGAAGAACTTAGAATACACGACACGAAATATAAAGCCTAGTAAAAGATGTGGTACAGATGATCAACGCTGGTCGCTTTTGTTTACCTGTCACCAAAGGCTCTCGGTGGCCGAGGAATGCTATGGATGACATATAAGGAGTTGGTTTGAACCAATTCACTCTGCAGAATTCGGGCCGCTGAAAGACGAAGGCACCTAGGTATATGCTCTCAATTCTACCGATCTCCGATTCGAAGCTAACACGCGGAGCACTTCAGAAGAGGAAGGCAAAGAGAGAATGGAGACAATCTACCCCATCAATTGCGCTTGCACGCTATCAGCGATTCGCGTCCTGATGCGCATCGAACAACTCGGAGATGTCAAAGTGGGGTTGGAGACATTGCTGGAAGTGATGGAGGATGCAGAAACTCGGTGCTATGCCGTTCTCAACTGCGCGGCATGTTGCCAGCGGCGATTCTCGCTGGCCAGTGTTACGGTTGTCAGCGCCACCGTGATTGAATGGGTACGTGGGACAGGGCTTGGAGCAGGTCTCGACCACACCGTATCTCTCGGAGATATCCACCTGGATCGGGCGGATGCCGAAATGCTAAGCCGGAAACTCATGCAGCTTCAACTCCGGCACTTTGTACAAGTCATGGCCCGACTTGAGAGTGCTCTCACCAGGACCAGGTCGGCGCACACGGCTGCATACCAGGATCTCGTCCGCGCTAAGATGCAGGAGCTGCAGGAATTTAAGCAGCAGGTCCCGAAATGATTAGCCTCAAACAAGTAGATCCTGACAGCCTCGTCAGCTTGAGGACCCGCGTACCTGCACCCACGCTGAGGGTGTTCCCGTGATTACGCGGGTTCCATGGAGAAGAGCCGAGAGAGGCGCCAAGATTGCCAGATCAGAATGTTCACAAAATGTTCCGGGCTCACTCCGCTTTTCATTAGTATACTTGCTTCTGTCTCTTTGTGATTGAGTTTGGAGTCGTCCGCAGGAAACGCCATTGGACCCTGAAATTGTGTCATGTCCAGCCAACGAAACAGCCAAACTCCAAGGGTGCCCAAAGTTCGTCAGTCTTGTGATACTTGTCAAACATCAAAGATTCGCTGCGGTCAAGAACGACCCAGCTGTCGCCGATGCGCCAAATACAACATTGAATGTGTGTATAGTGCATCTCGACGTGCCGGGCGTCCTCGACCAAAGCGGACAGTAGACTCCACGACGCCTGCTCCACCATCACCCACCCAATCACAGTCGTCCCAACATCAGCAGACGCTGCTGCCGACGCCGACGGAAACGTCTCCGTCCCAGGATGGACGTAGGCCTCTCGCCTCACCACCACGAGAAACTACTTTGACTGCAGTAGAAGCCACAGTACGAAGCGGGACGCAAGATGCCGATTTGGGAAGACGACAATACCATGATCCGTCCCCGGACGGCTCGCAGCCTGACTCGAGTCGGAATCAAGAGACTAGTATCTTTGCAGAGAACGACTCTCAGACCAGCAACCACTACCACCCAGTGAACGGCGATTCTATACGCGGACAAGCACAAGATAGCATCAGCAACGGCAGTAACGACTATAACGACGACATCAACGTGATCAACAATGGTCAGACCTCGCATTTCTCCCAAGATCTCGAGATGGACCAGACGACCAACCTCTTCAGCGATCTCGACCCAAGCCAATACCCCGACTTCTTTTTTCCAGACAACGCCTTCATCAACGATCAAATGGACTTTGAAGTTCTCATGACCCCACTTCGCGATAGCGCGCCTCTCGAAATGCACGCATTCCCGCAAGCCTCGCTCGCCGTAGTCCAGGGATGCACATCGATTACCAAGGTGCCTCAGGGCTGCCAGTGTACGGCGACGCTGTTGCAGCACCTCGGGGAGTTGTCGGTTACCGATACATGTGTGGGGAGCGGGCGCGACGATGGGGCGTTCTTCGCGAGTGCGGTGCAGCGCTCTAGGGTGCTGCTGGATCACTGCTTCGTCGTCCTTTCGTGCCCGTCTTGCAGTACGCGCATGTCGTCGGCGTTGGTGCTCTGCCAGGCCATGGATGAGTTGAGTGTGATGCTCGGCATGGGCACGCTGTGGATAGAAGGAAGCGGATCATGCGAGCAAGATCGGTGCTCGCTCCTCAGTAATCTGGCCAAAGATGAACTGCCGATGCGGTGCGGGAGCTATGCAGTGAGGGGACTGGACCGCCAGATTTTGCTGCGCACGCTGATGACGAACCGGCTATCGGAAATGCAACGAGCTGTGGGCAAGTTGTGTGAAGCCGTGGCGTTGCTGTCCTCGGCGTCGTGTCGAGCTACTTGCGCAGGCATGGCGACAGAGCTAGAGAAGAGAATCTCGTCAAAAGTAGAGATGTTTCGAGCTGCAGGAGCAGCGCCAGTACCACCATAGACGATAAAAATAATAGAAAAATTGAAAGCAAACTGATAACACGACGCTATGACAGTGCACAGGAGCCAGAATTGCAAGACCCGGGCTCCGATGGGTACAGAATATACGATCGAGTACCTAAGTGGCTTGGAAGTGCCTTTTTCTCACCAATCGACATGTCAGTGTTTGGGTGAGGTGACGGGGCTCTAACCACCTTGGGCGCACAGTCAGCCCATCGCTATGCTCATTTAATAGGTGATGAGAATTAGATATTATCTTTCTGAAGCAGTCTATTTACAGAAGAAACTGACGCGAATAAAGTTTCAATACATTGGGTCTTGGGAGCCGAAAACTCGATAAGCTAGCCCACCCGGTTTCGAGTCACCCGGGGTTTCAACTCACCCTATCGCCGCTCAGCACCCTCTCCAAAACACGACTTTTCTCGCCACCCACGCTGCGCAAATGGACACCCGTGAAGAATCTATTCAAGCAGCTATCCGCGATCTTAATGCTGGTGTTTTTCCGAGTCAGAGAGCTGCTGCAAAGGCCTACAACCTCCCTCAAGCTACTTTCTCGGCCCGTGTACGAGGCGCGCGGAACAGCCAAACCAGCCACGTATACCAACAAAGATAGACTCCAGAACAGGAGGACTTCCTCGTACAATGGATACTCGAAGAAGACGCACGAGCTTTTCCTCCCTCCCACGCACGCGCACGAGAAATGGCGAATCGAATCCTCCGGATGAATGGAGACCACAGACCTTTAGGCAAGCATTGGATGGCTGCCTTCTGTTAGTGGCACTGGGATAGAACATGTGGTGAATCGTGTTGTATTGTGCTACGGGGACTGAGATTTATATATCTCTGCCGGCTAGCGTTGTGGGCGCTACAGTCACGCGTCAAAAGTTTCTGCCGCGCTAGCGACCAGCTTCCATCAACAACATCGACACCTCAATTTCAATGCGTCACAACTATGGCTACGCCACGCCCATTTGGACAAGAGTTGGATCAAAATGTGCGCAGACGTCGAAATATTAGTCCTGCAACGCGCGATCGGTGCATTGGGATGCTGCAGGGTGGGATGACGGTGCAGGAAGTCGCAGCGGCGATACAGAGGTCGGAACGCGCCATCCGCGACCTACGCCTCAAGTACCGTCAAACAGGCAGCGTTCAAGACAAACCTCGCAGCGGCCGGCCACCTGTTCTATCGAAGCAGCAGAAAAAAATCCTCTTTAGAAAAGTTCGCGCTGCTCCAAAGATAGAGTACTCACAGCTCTCTAAAGAGGCTATCTTCGTGAACGCGGAGGGCACCCCTTCAAAGCCACCCAGCCGCAGCACATTATACCGGGCATTAAAGCGACATGGCCTCACTAATTATAAGGCAAAAAAGCGTCCAAATTTCACCCGCGCGCATGCCTTGCTGCGCTTGAAGTTCGCTCACGAGTACCGACACTTCGTGTGGGTACGGCGCACGCTTAAGTTCTCAGATGAGTGCTCTGTTCAGAAGGGATCTGGCGCCAACCAGGAGTGGTGCTTTCGCTACCCTTGGGAGAGATGGAAACCTGAGATGCTAGATCCTACTAGTAAAAGCCTTAAGCCAGCACAGATGGTGTGGGCGTGTGTGTGTGGCTTGATAAACGCTGCCGCGCGCGGAGGAGCAAGCTAATCATAATGGAACGTGATCCTGATGCTAAAAAGCGTGGCTACTCCGCCCAAAGTTACATGAAAGCGTTGGCAAAAGGTCTCCTCCCACATTGGCGTCGTTCCGAGCTGTTTATGCAGGATAACGCGGGTATACACCGCTCAAGAGCAGTAGCTGCTTTCCATCGTGAGCACTACATCAACTGCATCAAATGGCCAGCATACTCACCCGATCTCAACCCAATTGAACACCTTTGGTGGGTGCTTAAGAGACGCATGTATAAGCTCTACCCACAATACAGCAACCTTAGCCAAGCACAAGAGGAGTGGGATGGGTTTTGTGAGGCGCTGAAGGAGTGCTGGCGCGGCATACCGACGAAGCTTATCAAGCGACTTATCATGTCAATGCCACGACGCCTCGCTGCCGTACGCAAAGCGCGAGGGTGGCAAACGAAATATTAGATCAATGCGACACTAAAACACTCAAAATTATTAAAATCTGACATGTTTAGCAGTATTTAAAGCCTTATGAAGTTTGGGGTGAGCATGTTGATTTTGCGCTAGTGTAGCTTGGCGGCGGAAACTTTTGACCTAGTACTGTAAGCCTCGCACGTACTAGCCTGGAGTGAGTGAGAGATGGGATGGAACCTGGGTCATGTACCCTGAGGCCCACACGGTGGCTGACACCTTCCTTAAGCGTAACCCACGCGTCGCATCTGTTGTGGGTCGAAAGATTGAGGCTGCTCGAGCTGAGGGAGCAACGCCGGTACAGATACGCGCGCAGAGATGTCAACAATCAGTTCAAGCCGGCTTGATTGTTATCGATAAGTGTGATCAGACCAGGAAGATATCCGTGCCCGAGGACACGTCCCCGAGAATAGTCTGATCACACTTATCGATAACAATCAAGCCGGCTTGAACTGATTGTTGACATCTCTGTACGCGCGTTCCTTGAGCTCTTTGAGAGGACTCGTACGAGGCTAGGCATAAGAGCTGAGGATATATGGAATATGGATGAGACTGGGAAGGCCTTAGGTGTGTGTGCTAACACTAGAGTGCTCGCATCTAGTCAGAAGAAGAAGGCTTACCATCAGTCTCCAGAGAACCGCGAGTGGGCATCAATAATCGAGTGCGTGTCGGCTACAGGCAAGTGTAACGGGCTGAGCCCGAGGTCACATGACTAGGCTGCTGGCCTAGTCGCTTCCTTCCCTTCTGTCCCCCACCTTCTTTACCCCACCTTGCCCCGCCAGCGGTCCCTCACCTTGCCTCAGCAGCGCGTGGACCGTGCGCAAACACAAACACAAGAGATGGCAACTATCTTCTCTCTTTTCCCTTATCTTAACTATAAATAGCATCTAGGTTAGGTAGCTAGAATACAGTGCCTACAGACTGTTCACAGCAAGAAACCGCGCTGTTTAGTTATATTCAAAGAGAAGAGCCTACAGAGCACTTAGTTTCCTGCGATAATTCCTGAATAGCTTTACACAACCTCAGAGGATGGCTGGACATCAAACAAAATAGGCGCTAAGTGGTTGCAGCGGGTATTCCTGCCCGAGACAGCTCCATTAGACGATCGTTGGAGGATGCTGATCCTAGATGGCCACGGCAGCCACATCAGCCTGGATTTCCTATGGGCTTGCAAACAGAACAAAGTTTATCTTCTGTTTCTACCTGCTCATTCTTCTCATGTCCTACAGCCTCTAGACCTCTCAGTATTCTCCGTCGTGAAGAGGTTCT